ATGGCAGGGGTTATCGATTCTTGATTTTTACAATGGCTATAAGTCACCGGGTTACAAAAATCCCGGATTATAATGGATGCGCATTAAGTCTCCATCGGCCAAGAGCCGTCGGGTATTTAACTCCGGATTTACTTGTCAGCAGACAAGGTCTCATGATTATAAGTCGCCAACAAGCAAATTGCTGAGTCTTTTCACAGCTACGGCGGATTGATGATAAGTACAATTGTTCAATGGACAAATATTCGTTACAATTGCATATCAAGCACCGGATTTTCAACTGGGTTATACATTCCAATCTTGAATAGCCAACATGACTGGATTTTCATTATGGTTGTTATAACAAGTATCAAATGATTGAGGTTTTCCAATCGGGTTATATTATTCAAATCTTTAATAGTCAACATGGCTGAATTTTTATTATGGTTATCAATAACCAGTACTGTGATTGAGGTTTTCAAAGCCACTTCAGAGCAATGGTTATCATTTCTTCATCCAAGAATATCAGTTCACAACAGAAAGCATAGTTCAATATTTTGATATGCAAAGCATTCAACAATATCACCCAGACGGAGGATATGATTTATTCTACAATGGAAGGAATAGTCCCGAGTCATTGCATGCATACGACCCGACACTTGGGGGCTACATTATTCAGATCAAGATTATATCATGTATGCAAGTCCCATGTCACTACAAGCATGTACCACAACACTTGGGGGCTACATTATTTAGATCAATATTATATCAAGTATGCAAGTCCCATGTCACTGCAAGCATGTACCACGACACTTGGGGGCTAATGCAAGGCCATTTTTAATCCGCCTTATTGAAGATCCAACTCATCACATCGTGATGAGCCGGCCCTTGGGGGCTACTAATTGCTCATGTCAAAGGTAACCCGAAACTTGGGAGCTACATCATATGATATTATTTTTAATGAAGTACATACAAAGTCCCTGCTCATTATTACATAATGACCCAGCACTTGGGGGCTACACATGGGAAGTACAAAATGATCAGTTTATGATTGGCGACTTACATGAACAACAAGGATTTCTCCAAAGTTGCAGTATTTATATTGAAGCAAGTCTTGAGATATCACTATGTTCTACTCAAGACTTGGGGGCTACAGGTGATATGCATATAAAGGAGGAACATCTTCAAATTCTCAGTTTTGAGCAAACCAGAAAGCAAACACCAAGTCATCACAAGATTGGCCCGTGCTGGTAAAACCCGGACTGTGAGGATTCATTTTGTAAGGATTTAGCCTGAAAAAACTCAGGAAGACAAATAACCCGGCGTCTGTAACAATCATGACCCAGTATCATCTGTTTCATAACCCAACAATCTTGGCAATCATAACTCGGCAAAGTTATACATCTTCAAGCCGGTTGAAAATCAGATGGGTATTTCAAGACCAATATTTTTTGTCAAGCCGGGGCATTGGAAGCTGAATCAATGGATTATTCTTCACAGTATTTTTTTCTGTGGGAAGCTAATGTCAGCAAATTGACTATGGAGACTGGCCTATTAACCCGGACTTTTCAGAAGAAGTGCCTGGACTTTTTGCGTTGGCAAAGTTTAAATATATCTACTAAATAAGATTTGCTATGAGATCATGGACATGTATCAAGAAGGAAATGACAAAGACTTAAGGACGATCAGGTGTCGGTTCAGAAGAACTTTTAAACCCGGGCACAACCTGTCAAATTTGTTCTTGTTTTATTTTGCTGGATCAGTTTAACATGGATAAATCCAAATTAAACTGGGGGCTAATGTCGGGGATATACCCCGCGGTGTAACCCGGCCTGATGTATGACCCGGCTGGGTCTTGGCGACTCACTGGTGACCCGCCCTGACCTGGCGACTCACGGGTAACCCGCCCAAACATTGCGACTCATTAGTGACCCGGCGGGCGGGTTAGACAGACGACAAGACCCAACGGCCCATAAGGTGGCTCGTGGGAAGGACAACTCACATTATAGTGGGCCGGTTTGAGAAGGAAGGCATAAGGAATAATTCCCTTACAAGGGAGGCAAGACTAGGATTCCACTTGTAATAGAATAGTCATAATCTTACCGGAACTCCACAAGTAACCCGCCCCTCCAACTTATATAAGGTGGGGCAGGACACCCGAAGAGGGACAAGTTAAGACAGACAAGTCAATAGCTCTCGAGATAGAGGTAGCGAAAGAGCGCCCTTGTAATCGTGAGTGTCATCATCATCACCAATATCAATAAATCAGGATGTAGGCTTTTACCTCCACCGTGAGGGGCCGAACCTGGGTAAAACCTCGCGTCTCTCGACCTGACCAACCCCGTTCAAGCTACTACCTAGTTGCGATGGCCTCACGACTAAGTCCTCACACTAGGACATCCGCCGTGACACCACAACACTGCTTATTGGGGGTTTTCTATTGCAGACGCTTTCTCTGACAACACTATGGGCGATGAACTCAAACAACCCCACACGGTTTCTAGAAAGTAGGCGTGTTGGATCAATTAACAATCACACACGACTTCCGCCAAAGAACTATTTGCGTTAGTCCACCTTGCACAGATATTTCCACATAAAAATTGTGTGTGATATACATACGAACGGAAACGTTTTCCTGGGATTCACTGTGTGGGATGTACATACGAACGGAAACGATTGGTCTCTGATGCCTCGCCCGATCGCACACGAGCTCATTTTGCCCCGCATGTGTGACCGGAGGGCCTATCCCCGACGGTTTTTGGGTCATGTGGGAAGGACCCCCTATCGCACACCTGATGAAGCGACGGTTTAAAACTGCGTCGCGGAAAGGGGATAAAAACCGTTTGTATAGGACGTCTCTGCACCAGTGATGATATGCTTCTTAACATGAGCATGTCATTGCCCTTATAGATTTTGAGCAGTTCTTCCATCTCGAGTGCATGCAATCAAGATATCCGAGCAAACCTAGCCACCATCTTGCTTCAGACATTGCCAAGACCCTCTCGGTGTCTGCGATAGCCGGTTCTCTCAAGTACTAAGGCCCCAACACCTCAACAATCTCAGTAGCAAATCTGACCATAACGTCTTTGCATGTGCTCTCAAATATCCAGAGATACTCGTCACACGAATCTGCGGTTGTGCCATATGTAACCATCTGCAATGCAGCCGTGCATTTTTGGTATCCAGAGAATTCAATCCTTCCTACGACATCCACCTTCAAGATGAAGTAGTCATCGTAAGACCGAACATCATTGTAGACCAAAGGCGAAAGTATCGGTGAAAATTGTCCGTGAATAGGGCATTGGGGACAAAGTAGTCGTCCATCAGCGTCAAATGTCCCTGTGCCCTGTTCCGATTCAGCACTCGACGTGATCCCTTAAAATTGAGAACATTCAGCACTCGACGTGATCCCTTAAAATTGAGAACATGCTTTTCCGCACGCTCGGGTCTTTCTAGACACCCTTTAAAATTTAACTTTTTTTTGAGACACCTTTAGAATTTAACTTTGCCCTAGCTTTGCACGCAGCGAACAATCTGAGATTGCTAGATTTTGCGGAAAAGACCGTGTTGCTAAACTAGGCCTGGGCCAAGGAGAAACCGCGGTGCAATCACACTCAAGTGGGCCACACACACCATCGGCGGCCGAAGGGGCCTATCCGCAAAAAGCCGCGCCCATGGTGCGGTGGGGGTGCGCGGTGCGCCTCCCCCCGGCAACTGGTGGGCGTCGTCCTCCTCTTGTGCGCACCAGGTTCCTCCTCCTCTCTCTCTCTCCTCCATTCCCGCACCCTCCGTCGCGACACATCGCCCCAGCCAGAATTCCCCCTTGCTGTCATCTCCTCCCCCAAAAGCCGCACCGATCCAGCAGCTTCCTCACAACCCAACCCAGGTACGGACGCGCCGCCTCTCCCCAATTCCTGAATTCCCCCTCCTCTCTCCAGGTCCAATCCACGCCGTCTGGCTTGCCCGTCGCTTCCCAGCTCGTCGTGTCGGCGTGATCGGCTCCGCGGAGGCGAATCGGACCGATGGGACAGGAGCGGAGGAGAGCGCGCGCGGGGGCGGGGGGCAGGCACACTGGGTTTCTCTAGGGTTCTGATCGCGACATGCTTTGCGGGTGCGGGGGTTCTAGGTGAGAGTTTTGCGAGGAGCAGTGGTGACACACGTGCTCGTGAATTGTGGGAGTACGTGATGTTGCCGGTACGGAAAATGATTGGGGATTTGGTGGGGCTGGGAGCTGGGAGCTGTTATGGGAGAATTAGGTGCCCTTGTGATTGTCCTGCCCCCTCTGCCAACAGTTGCCTGTCCCCTGGGGTTTAATTCAGATCCTCATGTATGGGCTTAGACAGCGCCTGTCATCCTGCGAGTTAATAGTACATAGTACCACATGCGTACCAAGATGTGTTTCCTTGTTTGACTATATATATATGGTGTCATACATAGATTGCACAGTGAATAGAAAGCTGCCATTTTCTGTTGAAAAAGGGCATTTGTTGTTGTATTATGAAGCTTCAGAGTGTGAATAAAAGTTGTCGTATCGATGGTAGGAAGATGGTCGTTGCCCCACATCAGGACATACGTATGGTAGCGTGTTCTCTAGAGGATCCTGCATGCGTGTGTCTATGCAGAAACATGACGCGGTTTCTAGCTTCAAAGGAAGTATTGACTTTACACTTGAGAGCTGGTAAAAAAAAAGCGCTCCTTTGAGATTGCAATATGGTTTAATCTGCTTCTGTTCTATTACTCTTTTTTTGAAGCATCACAATGCTAATACTAATTGAGGGCCTAGTATTCTTTCTCATCATTTATCTTGTGATACAAGATATGATCTGCCATTGGAGTAGACAAAAATATGGCTTAGACAAGAAGGAGAAGGACAATTGATATATTAATAATTTAATATGTTGCTGGCCACACAACTTTATGACTCTTGCTAACACGTTTCATGATGTTGCCGTTTCTTTGTTTTTTTGCTCGTGAGATCCTAATCAGACTAGTTAGATTGTTACTTACTCATGGTTAATTTCAGGATGCAGAAATGCATGCTTGATATATTAGCTACAGTTGCTTATGTTTATGATGGTTACAATTCGTACGGTGTAATAGTTTCCCTTTATTAACTCTTCATTTCTTAACCTGTGGTAGATTAATGGATTAACATTTGTGCTAAGGTTATTCTGTAGGAACATATCAAAATCAATTTATGGGAAAGACGCAACGCTTGTCCACAATTCTTGATGAGGAGGTGTGATCTGAGACAGTCTCACAACAGCAGGGTTTCTGGAGGAATGTCATCCTCTTTACCTATTCTGCCAAATTCTCTGAAAGAAACCTTCCATGGGCCTTACAATCCGCAGCTCACTCCGATGCAAAGGCAACTGACGAGTGATCTTGTGCCCTTACATCAGAGTGCACTTCCGTCTGCTACTTTGCACCCAAGAGCTGGGGCTATGAGATCATCATATGCAGCCTCATTAGGATACTCACCTAATCCTCTTGATTCTGCGCTTAACCATGAGAGGCAGTCTATGGTTGCTCCTTTTGCTCCTCAGCCATCAAATATTGAAGTATTTCAGACCTTATCTAATAATATCCCTGGAGGACACACTGAGGCAACTTGGTTCCCAGGTTCGGCTGATGGTTTATCAGATTACAGGGATAACATCCCTGCTTCTGGTAGTCAGATCCAGAATGGCGGTCCTGCTGTGACATCTGATGTGGTTGCTAAACAAAATGAATGGTGGGCAGAGATAATGAATGATGATTGGAGAGATATTCTAGATGCAACGGCTGCTGATCCCCAGTCAAAGGTATGCAAATAAAACAGCATAAAGAGTCATTGTAGTAGCTCTGTCTTGGGTTCTGATAGTTTAGAAGTAATCTGTAATTTATTTGTTAATTTCACGTAAGTTCTTTGCCAGTGCACATACTGGTATTATGATATCATTTTTGTGTGGCCAACCTAGATACCTTAATGTATGTCAATTTTAAAGTTAAGAGGAAGTTTTGACTTACTGTATACTTCTCGGGCCATACTTCCATTTACAAATTGGGCCATACTTCTTGGGCCTCTTTAAACAGTGTAGGTAACTATCCCTTCCTCTTATTAGAAGTTTAAAACTGATGTGTAGTAGGTTTTGTTAGAGTGATGGTTAGGGCACCAGTAAATGATTTCTTGTTTGCATTGTTTAAAGAGGGTCGTTATTAGATTGACTACCAGAGCTTACATTAGAATCTTGTAATGAATGTTCATGACTTGATATGAGTGTCTCTCTCCGCAAATTCTTCTAAGGGATATATGCTGCTTCTTCTCTAATTCTCGTTGGCACAAAATAGAAATATGCGGTCCACTTAATTTTAAGGTGGAGGTCTCTTAACTTGTTGGAGTTGTAGTTTCTAGAGTGATATTTGTTTCTCACTGTGATGCTTTTGGTAAGCCCATTCGATGTGTTTCTTTTATGACCAAATGTTTGTTGTCACCTTTGTTGTAATCCATGGTTCAGCCTTCCAATTCGGCTGCATCACAGCCTGCTGTCAACCAGCCAGCTTCATCTCATGGTGGAGAGATTTGCAATGTAGCTAGTCCTCCCAATAGCAACTCTGCAGCCAAACAACGGATGAGGTGGACTCCAGAACTCCATGAATGCTTCGTAGACTCTGTAAATAAGCTTGGTGGTAGTGAAAGTATGTCTGCAGTGCCATTGATTCCCAAAAGTGCATTTTAGATATGAATCATGTTCTAATGCTTGTAATTTTTGTCTTGTCCTTCAGAAGCTACTCCCAAGGGTGTGCTGAAGCTTATGAAAGTTGACGGTTTGACAATATATCATGTGAAAAGCCATCTGCAGGTTTGCCATTAGCTTTCTAAATTCTAGTTCTAAACAATAGTGTTGCCCACAAGAGATTTGAGTTCTCACTTACCTTTTCTGGTTTGTGTTGCAGAAGTACCGAACAGCTCGCTATAAGCCAGACCTAACGGAAGGTTTGTCTGGATTAGATTTTTTTGCATGTATTTTGTATAGATCTTCCCTGCACAGGTGCATAGTTGATATTATTATTCATGACCCATGATGCGATGCTATTGAGTTGAGTACATTTTTATGATAATGGTTAGGGCTGATGCTTTTTTTATGGACGCCGATAAGTGCCACACGTGTGGGCGTTAGGGAGACTGTCCACACATTTTGTGTGGTGTATAAGAGGAACAGCCCACACACCTACGTGTGGGCAAAACAAGTAATGCCCACACACCTCTTTTTTTCCTCCCGATCCCTCTCACACGCGTGCGTGTGGGCGAAGTAGATAACGCCCACACGCCCCGCATGTCAGGCCTCGTACCTCGTGGTCCCGCACGCCACGCGTGACAGTCACCGCGCGCCTGCAGTTGCCATGGTCCAGACCCTCGTCCATGTTCGTTTAACTGCAGTTGCCATGTCGCTGAACTACGGTTGCCATGGTTGCTCAACTGCAGTTGCCATGTATGGTCTGGTCTACTGTAAGTTGTCATGATTTCAAAACTTTAGGAGTTGCCACATACTAACACTAGCCAGTTGAGAGAGTTGCCATGTGCTCACAAGCATGCTAGGGCGTTGCCATGTAAAAAGGAAGAGTTGCCATCTGCTTACGTGCACGTTAAGGCAGTTGCCATGTACCATGCAAAAACACATGGCAACTCGGTAAAGAGAGAGTTGCCATCTGCTTACATGCACACTAGGCAGTTGCCGCGTACCCTGCAAAACAGATGGCAACTCGGATAAAAAGAGAGTTGTCACCTGCTTATAAAGCACACTAGGGCAGTTGCCATGTGCGCTGCAAAACATATGGCAACTAGCAGCTTGTGTGTGGGAGAGGAGACGGGCGTGTGGGCGAGATGGCAAATGCCCACACACTAGCCCTTGTGCGTGCATGGAAAGTGGCGTGTGGGCGAACTGCTGAACGCCCACACACCAGCCCCTCCCGTGTGGTGAAACGGCCGTGTGGGCGACCGGGTGAACGCCCACACACCAGGCCAGTCCTACGTGGTACTGAAAACATGCCAAGATTCGTGCGCTCACGAACGGACGCAGATCCACGCGTGTGGGCGAGATGCAAACGCCCACACGTGTGGGCGTTAACATTTCCGTTTTTTATATATATGTAAATCTTCTCAGGACGCGATATTATTTTGGTAAGGTTCCATTATTGCATAGAATTCATGCATCTACATTGTGTTTGGTATAATTGGTAACATAACATAACCATTCCATACCAAATTATCAGGTACAGCAGAAAAAAGGACTACCACCGAAGAGTTGACTCTAGACCTGAAATCGTGAGTTGGATAATTTTTTACTTATTATCTATTATTCTGTTCAATTGTACTCTAGCATGATACCCATCTCTCATGATGCTTATTGGTAGCTGGTTACTGTGCAATGTGACATCCATCAACTATTAAGGCTAAAACCAATACTTAAGTTGTAGTTAAGATGGTGGTTTAGTTTGTAAAACTGAATTCCAACTAATGCTCAGTAATTACATTGAGAAAACTGATGCTGATATAAGTTTGTGATTCAACTGCATTTTAATGGGGATTAGAAAAGATAGCTTCAATGTAGGCAATTGCCCAAAATGGATTTTCTTCCATATATACATCCTGGTATTCGCCTTCTGATCAAAATCATAAATAAAAAGATAATTAACATGGGATATAACCCAGGAAAACTTTGAAGGAACTTACATGCCCACCATTAAATGTCATGTGGTGGGCCTTGGAGGAAACACAAAGCCCCAACTAAGTACATTACCCTCATCAAGGACATGTACGATAATGTTGTGACAAGTGTTCGAACAAGTGATGGCGACACTGATGACTTCCTGATTAATAGGATTGCAGCAAGGGTCAGCTTTGAGCCCTTATCTTTTTTGCTTTGGTGACGGATGAGGTCACAAGGGGTATACAAGGAGATATCCCATGGTGTATGCTCTTTGCTGATGATGTGGTGCTAGTCAATGATAGTTGGATGGGGGTTAATAGAAAGTTAGAGCTATGGAGTCAAACTTTGGAATCGAAAGGTTTTAGTCTTAGTAGAACTAAAACTGAGTACATGAGGTGCGGTTTCAGTACTGCTAAGCACTAGGAGGAGGTTAGCCTTGATGGGCAGGTGGTACCTCAGAAGGACACCTTTCGATATTTGGGGTCAATGCAATGCTGCAAAAAGGATGGTGATATCAATGAAGATGTGAGCCATCGAATCAAAGCCGGATGGATGAAGTGGCGCCAAGCTTCAGGCGTTCTCTATGACAAGAGAGTACAACAAAAGCTAAAAGGCAGGTTCTGTAGGACGGCGATTCGACTCGCAATGTTGTATGGTGCTGGGTGTTGGCCTACTAAAAGGCGACATGTGCAACAGTTAGGTGTAGCGGAGATGCGCATGTTGAAATGGATGTGTGATCACCCAAGAAAGGATTGGGTCTGGAATGATGATATACAGGAGAGAGTTGGGGTAGCACCGATTGAAGAGAAGCTTGTCCAACATCGTTTGAGATGGTTTGGGCATATACAGCAGTGGCCTCCAGAAGCTCCAGTGCATAGTGGATGGTTGAAGCGTGCCGATAATGTTAAGAGAGGTCGGGTTAGACCAAACTGGACATGGGAAGAGTCCATAAAGAGAGATCTGAAGGACTGGTATGTCACGAAATGACTAGCCATGGACAGGGGTGCGTGGAACCATGAGTTAGTTTTGTTGTTGTCGTCGTCGTTGTCGTTGTCATTCATCGCATAGTTGGCACGTTCAGTTATGATATCAAGACAGCTCTATTAAACTTGGTCCTGTCAAATCAATTTAGTGGCTTGGAACTTTTTCTCAATTATGTGAGATTTTGGAAGTGCAAGTAGTAGTAGAACCTAATATTATTTTGCTTCCCATGAAGCTGTTTTGCCTCTTAATGAGAAGGGGAATGATTTATGTTTTGACAATACAGGATTCTACTACTTGCAGTTTTAACATCTGACATATTTCAAAAAATGTTTTATTAGCCCTTCAGCCTCTTCAGAAGCGAAACCAGTAATTTTATTTTGCTGCACTAAGTTTCATGTAGCTAGATTGATTTTGGAATTCTGTGCACCAGTTATGAGCAGATTGATATTCTTATAGGTGAATTAGCATAAATATCAGATGGTGGGATGCAAATTCCTTTGTTTTTCTTGTGTTACCTTTGGTCTTGATGTTTTCAGTGTCTCTTAACAAGAGGTTGGGTACATTTCGCAAACACTTAGCTGACTGGAAAGATATAACGCGTTTTCCGGAGCTTATGTCTAGGTTACTAGCACTGTCAAGATTCCTGGTTACTCAACCAACTTCCTCAGGTGTTATTACTTGAGGAAGATGCTATTCTTTTGATAGTTATGTTGACGTGTGTCTATGCACACACATTTTATTGGCACTGGAGCGTTACATTTTCTGTCTGTTCTAAATCCATGCTGTACAGACCTAGCAAGCACTGCGAATTGCCTTGCAGTTAATCCATTTGTTTTGAAACAGTTGTTATTTGTAGCTATGATATAAACAATATGCTCACAGTTATGTTCTTTGATGTCGAGCTCACAATTAAGAAGTGTTGTTGTTTGTGCTCCCAAGTCTTGGTCATGCTGTAAATGTGGATCTCTCAAATCCTCCCTCTGTTATGAGAGTTTGATGAGTCCTGTTGAACCCAATTTATATTCACTTCCTGTTGGGCCAGGAAAAACTATTTTTGAGGATTCATTGTGAGACAGTGCATTCTCTTGCTTTGTCAGCCATGATTAACACTATACATGTTATTTTTCTTATACAGGAGCATGGATCTTACTGAAGCGCTGCGTCTTCAGATGGAAGTTCAGAAACGTCTTCATGAACAACTTGAGGTACTAGTCCAAAAGAACATAGACTGGTTCTTAATTTAGGTGATGTCTAGGTGACCGAATAAAAAAAGTTGCATGCGAAACATAATAGACTTCAAATGTGAGGAAACATTGTTCTTTTTGCACACCTATAAATCAAATTTTGACTGCAGTGATACTCTACAAAAGAAACATCCACGTAATTGCATTGGTCTTTACATGATATAGGCCCGGCTCAGTCAGACTATTACCATGATGAAACACACATAGTCTGAACTTGATTCCATGTTTCTATGACAGACCCAGAGAAAGTTGCAATTGCGAATTGAAGAACAAGGGAAGTATCTTCAGATGATGTTTGAAAAGCAGTCTAAATCCAATACGGAGAAGGTGCAGGATCTATCCTCGGGAGCTACAACAACCCTATCATCTGAACCAAGCCATCCTGCAACCAGAAATAGGGGTGATGATGCAGCTGATGACCTAAATAGAACAGGAGAGAACCCCGTGAGTGCCGAAATAGGAGAAACTTTGATGCATGCAGGTGGCAACCAGGAGATGGCAGAAAGCGAGTCTTCTGAGCCCCTTGCAAATACTAATGATGGTTCCAAGGCCCCGCAAGAGAAGCGCCGAAGGGTGCATGATAGTTAACCATCAGTTTGGTAATTCAGATGATAGCAGTTCAGTCAACATATAATAGGTAAAAAATGGTTCCATCCCTGCGTCGATGCTGATCTGCAAGTCTATTGAGCCTAGCCACCTTAATTATCTAAATGGAATCTTTTGGTGGCCGCTTGTATAAACTGCTAGCAATAAATCAAATTATCTCCTGACGCATGGTAATTGGTAAATAAGTATGCCTTGTGGTCTAGCTATCCTTCTAGATATATAGTTGTTATTTGAGGTTTCAAGCGGCAGAAGACTGAACTGCTAGAAAGCTAGTCTTTGTCTTGATGCTCAAGATATTGAAATACCTGACCCCGTTTTGGTTTGGGTGTTGCAATTTTTAGAGTTAGCTACGTATTGGCTGAACTCATGATGATTACAAAGTTTTGTGTTATAAGATGGTAACTTGGGTCCACTTCTCTGAGATATGTACTGCTTGAAGATCCTTCATCTTTATTTGTTCTGCCATGTTGTAGCAGAAAACCCCTGTAAAAGAAAACGGCTGATATTCGTGTACCTACTTGGATCGTCCGTAAAACTTAGGCTTGTTTCTCAGATTACACGAGTATTTGGCCGGTTTTCGATACACACCTCCTCCCATAGTTTTTCTCCCACGTATTCCTTCCTCTCTTCCGATCCACCAAATGAGTACGAGCGCATACTCAGCCAGGACGGCTGGAGGCACACAGGAAGATGCAACAGCGATCTCCGGCGCGTGCGCCCTGCGCCGCTGGAGCTCTCCACGTCCAGCTGGTTGAGTCGGCGACTAGTTGTGATCAAAGTCAGACGAGGCGGCCATTGAAGGCGCAAGGACTAGGTGGCGCTCAACCTGGTGGATCTCGGACCCCAACTCCTGACAGGGTCCTTGCGCCTGACCGCGTAGCAGGAGACGCGGGGCTGGCCGTCCGCCGGTTCTTGAGGCCCCGCTGGGCGCGGCAGCAAGAACGAGCGTGAGGCAGATGCCCTAAGCAACCTGTATCCAAACGACCTGTAAAGTAAACACCTATAAAATACTCCCCGCGTCTCATAATATGAAATGTTTTTTGACATTAGTGTAGTGCCGAAAAACGTCTTATGTTATGAAACAAAAGAAGTTGCTTAGGGCATCTCCAACGGTGCCTTCCGCGTCCGTTCGAGGACAGCTTGACCATTCCACGGACACGGATGGCGAAGGCTGTCATCCGTTGCCCGCATACATCCGGCCTCTTTTTTTTATGGTCCGCATATTCAAATAGCTGCGTACGCAGAGTTCAGGCGTTCAAATAGTCGCGTACATAGAGTACAAATGTTCAAATAGCCGCATGCAACACTAGTTTAAATTTTAAAATTTGCAAATTTTACATTCCAACATTGTTGTCCCCTTAAATAGCCCATTGATGCCCAAACAGATCTTCCTTCAACTACTCGTGAGTTGATTGATGCCGAATTTGTTGATGCATTTGAATAAACTCTTCAAATGTGGCCAGATTCTGGTTTGGAAGTTCGATAAGATCGTATGTTCTCAAATTATAGAGCCGCGGTAGCATCCTCACCCTCATGTTGTGCATGATTACACAACATGACATTACCTCCCACAAGGTATCTGGATCCCATTGTTTAGCAGGTCCACGAACAATTGCAAACGGGCCTGCAGAACTCCAAATGCCCTCTCGACATCCTTTCAAGCCGCTTCTTGTCTTTGGGCAAGGTGAGACTTTTTCTAGCCAACTGGGTTAGAGATGGTGCTGACAAAGGTGGCCCACGGAGGATAGATACCGTCAACCAGATAGTAGCCCATGTTGTCCTCGTGTCCATTGACAATATAGAGGCAAGTAGGAGTTTTTCCTTCAGCCAGCCTCTCAAACGGTGATCGCTGCAGCACATTGATGTCATTGTGAGACCCAGGCATGCCAAAGAAAGCGCGCCAAGTGCAAAAATCATGTGATGCAACTGGTTCAAGAATGATGGTGGGCTTCTTAGCATGACCCTGATATTGTCCTATTGTCCTTGTAAAGCCTACAGACAGTTCTTTCATTTTCAATGCATGCAATCAAGAGATCCAAGCAAACCTGGCCAACCCCTTGCTTCTGAGATTGCCAAGAGCGTCTCAGTGTTTGCCATAATTGGTTCTCTTAGGTACTGAGGTCCGAACACCTCGATCATGGCAGTTGCAAACCTGACCATGGCATTTCCGCATGTGCTCTTGAAAATCCGTAGATACTCGTCCCACGAATTAGCGGTCGTGTCATATGCAAGCATCCGTAGTGTGGCCGTACACTTCTGGTAACCAGAGAAGTCAATCATTCCCACAACGTCCTTCTTCAAGATGAAGTAGGACCGTACGCCATAGTACAAATGATCGAAAACAGTCTTGCGCATTCGAAAACACCGACAAAATTGTCAGCGAGGAGTGCATTCGGGGCAAAGTAGTCGGCCATCAGCGTCAGATGGTCGCGCGCCTTGTTGCAGTTGAGCACTCGGTGACCCTTGATCAAGCCCTTGAGAACGGAGAACATGCTCCACCACACGCTCTATGTCTTCAAGGACCGCCTGCATTATCGTCCTCTCATCCGAGTAGTCCTCGTCGGACGACTTAATATAGTGCGCGGAATTCATTGCTAGAAAGAAGGGGAGACTTTTTTAGCTCCAACAACTCATTGAACAATTGCCGATCATGGTTAGTATAGCAGTAACGGATGGTACCTGACGGGGCGGTCGGAAGACAGTGGTTGAACGGCGATAGAGGAGAAGCGGGGTGAAGCCCAGTTGGAATGCTGGAGGTGACCGAGATGTATTGTTCTGGCAGGGGTATAGCGTGACAGCCGGGGTGATGGACCGGCGGCGAAGGCAATAGAGAAATAAGGAAGGAGAGAAAATGGGGAGGATGATGGCGCGGGGTCTGAAATTTTTTTGGGTGAACCAGGGTATCGGAGTCCTGCGTGCCTATTGTCCGAATTCCCGTAAAGCTACCTATATTTGTCTCCCTATATTTGTCTCTAGTTTACGAGATCTGCGTGTCTATTGTCCGGATAACGGTAAAGCTCCTTATACTTGTCTCTAATTTACGGGATCCGCCTTGAGGATGCCCTGCCGGGCTCCCAATCGGGCCTTTGGGTGTCAGTGCGTAACATGTCCGCCAGATCACCGACTACTTTATTTTCAAATACCGTATTGCGTACATGTAAATATTTCGGCAGCGAGTCTCGGGATCTCAGCAACATTAGCACATCGTGTACCAACGTCCAAACCTGCAAGTTCAGGGTCTCGACTACATGGAAGAAAGGACATGAATGAACAAACTGAGAGGCCCATCGTACTCTTCTTGAACGAGAGTTACCAGTTGAGAACACACCCATTTCACATTTCCGTGACGCAAGAAAATATCCACCGAGCTGTCAACCTTGTTAGTTGGGACCGACAAGTTTCTGACAAACCAAATATATTTCCCATCCACATAACTTTGATAAACAATCAATGTGCAGTAACTAAGAACAAAGAATTTGGGTCAAAAATTTAACGAAGAAAAGAATCAGCCTGCATCAATGACGTGTAAGGCACCAATTTTCAATTAAAGGTGCCACAACGCATCACCAACAAACAATCCTGTCCCGTAATCTAGATGACGAGAGTGACACTCCCTTTTACCTGAAGCCTCACCACTACACATCACCATTGCCTACCGCATTATCCTTCTGACTTAAGACTAATTTCTCTAACTGCAGAAAAACTACCCATCAAGCTCACTAATTCAATGAACAGATGGTGTTGGATCTACCCTGTCAAAATTGATGGCTAATGACTGCTTTCCTGGTCTTTTTCACTCCCAAGTGCTTGTCCTCTTGGTATATAGTACAGCAGTAGACGAAAACAATCTACCGTCAGTCAAATCTTCTGGTTTCCAGGTTCAAAGTATGCTATGGACTTACATTGCACTCGTCCATGAATCGCTCATCTCGTGCCAGAAACCTCTTCCAGTACTTCCTGTAATTTGGTATACCCAATTCAAGCCAAGGTTTCATATTACCATTGTAATGCAACGATGCAGAAGTTCGGATCACTTTTTCTTCAATTCCGTACTGATAGCCAAGCCCAGATAAAGTCAACCTCTCATCAAGAGGATATACAAGATTCTGGAAGGAAAGCAAGCTTATAGGTAAAGCTGCAGCTCGTAGTGAGGCCTCATCGTCATTGTTCCGGAACTGTAATAGAATAAGAGTAGAAGTGCTAAATAAGCTAATCACTTCATGCAAGATGGGCCCAAATCATGCATTTTTCAAATAGACTGAAAGTAAAGAGTTTAAGATAGCATCACAATTGCTCACTATATCAAGTACGGATGATGATAGCTGGAAATATTGGAACAAAACAAAATACAATGCATGCTTTAGAACTTGAAATAAAAGCAGGCTGACAACAGACCAACCTTTTCCAGGAGTTGCAGGTAATTCTCTGTAACATTATACTCTCTCCATTTTTCCAAATTAATGACATTCAACCCAGACATCCATGCACATGACTGGGGATCGTACATTGCCTCGCCGAGAAGGTTTCTTAGTTGGCCCAGTCTCAGGCCACAAAACTTGACTGCGGCATTTACCTTATCTCCCATATCAAGATTCCACAAGAAAGAGAGATCACGTTGAACAATGACATCATCATCCAACACAATCACCTTCTTTAAATCTTTAAATATTTCCGGAATAAAGAAATGTGAGTGACTAAACACTGATAAATACTCCATTCTAGATTTCTCGGTAGGTCGCTCAAAGCTACTGATGAAAACACGGAATTCCTCAGGCATATACAACTGCTGCATGCTGAAATCTGGCAAATTCTCCAAAATAATATGCTCGTAGTTAATGACATTGACAGCTGATTCTCTGTAGGCATTTCTTGAAAACCAATGCTTCATTGCATAGAAATTTTGAGCATCGGTTAGTACATGAAAGACTACATTCCTGGTCTCCTGCAAAACACCAAAAGGAACATCAGCAATGCCAAACCCA